TGACCCTAGTTTGGTGGTTAACTATTTACCCATAGCTGGGACCCTAACAGGTGCTACCACCCCTGGGTCAGGGTGGGCCTAGGAATACCATCAATTAAGAGTTGGTTCCACACTCCTCAAAACCTCCTGATCAGAGACCTTGCTATTGGATGTAGTTTATAGCCCAACCCAGGACACAGTTGTAGTTTATACCCAGGATGGCTTTATGTACTTCTCTGATAAAATTTGTTGTAGTTAAAAGAACATAAATTACTTTTTGAATGACCATTGTAACATTCACTCAAAACTCAAATGATAACTGGAATACCATTAATTGATCAGACAGAATAAAAATGCAACTCTGAGGACATAACCAGTAATGTTATGCTAAAAATCCATTCTTTCAAAAAATCTTTTAATCTCTGTTATCCTGCTTAGCAGTGATAGGTGATTCATCTTCAAAGAAGACACCATACAGAAACACACTTTGAAAGCACCTCAGAATGATTCAAGAAAAATAATGCTATTAATAATGATCATCTCAGAATTTAAGATGACATAAAGAATATATCAGTTAAAACATTGTGAAAAACAACAATAATGACGACAGTCATGTGCAAAGTATAAAGTCTGTCCGGAATGTATGCAACTATTTTCAATATTTTGGGTACTGATTGTGTAACTTTTATATAATTTGACAAGCAATAAAGAGAGGAACATTTTTTTTTAATCAATTCCTCTCAAGCAAGGCAATAATGCCACTAAGATGCAAGGGGCTACTGGGAGTAAAAGAGACTGAAAAACTTTAGAAGGAACCATATCAGCTGAAGTAGTGTGATAAAAACAACAAAAATGATAGTAACTCTCTATATTCCTGAGATGAGGTATTATGTGCACTATTTACAGTATTCGGACTATCGTCCTCATCTTTGTCGCCATATTTATCACAACGTTTCGGCTATTGTACACTCCGGCCTTCTTCAGGTGGTTAGAATGTCAAACTGAACCCTTCATTTCACTTGCAGGGGTAGACTGTTCCAGTTCCATGTGCCACGTCTAATGGATGTCAGTTATCAGTTATCTCCTGTTAATTTACCTCTCCAAGTTCTCTACTGCCTTAACCAGGTATCGAACTCACACTGGATCTAACCAACGCCTTTATCCACTGTGTCATGTGTCCTTAAGTCTGAAAAGTTTGGCTGATAATAAAAAGACTTCATATCAGAACTTAAAAAACAAGAAAAATACTACCAGAAATAATAAAAAAGGTAAGTTTTGTAACCTGAAAACAACAGTATTGAAGATAATCAGGAATCAAACTACTGAATTTTACAATAGAATGGAAACTTTAACATTGTTCAAAGTTGAGAACGCAGGAACTGAAGCTAAGAGAAAGAGGAAAATGATCTTTGTGTATTAAAGTTTAGAAATATTGATAAATGGGGGAAGAAAAAAAAGATATAAATAAGATGGAAAGATGATGTAAAAATATGGCCTAAGGCAAGGATATTCCGGTGGCTGTTGTGGCCACAAAATCAGTCTTGAAGTGGTTGGATGTTCTTGAAAGCAGGAAGGCCATTCTCTGGCACCAACCCAGAAATATTGTCCAGTATTCAAACCAACATTCAGCAAATAAGTGGCAGCCATTCTCAATCAAGTGACCACTGAAGAGTGGTCAAGAATGAACGGGCAGTTATTTATAGTGGACAAGTGACCTCCGCCAGTTTCTGAAGGGTCATTGTGGTCAGAGGAGATGGGTGAACAGAGTGGGAGGGTCAAGGGAGCAAATAATTAGCATAATGATAAAGAAAGTTTCAAAGGAGAAAGAAAAGAAACAAACATAAAAGCAGCAACAAAAGGAATGAATGCTGCAGATGGAGAATAAATAGAAAGTGAGAGTAATTACAAAGAGAGGAGGAATGAGAGAAGAGAGAATAAACAAAAACAAAAAGAGAAAGAATAAACGGGGAGAGATAGAGAGAGAATGTAAAGAGGAGATGAATAGAAAGAAAAAAAAACAAATGTGTGTGTGTGTGTGTGTACACATATACAGGTTTCATTGAAGACAACTGACAAGGCATTGTGATTAAGCTTTTTATTATATTTTTCTTGCATCTTACAAGTGAGTTCTTTTCTGGATATAGAGTGCTTAAATAATATCCAAACTCTGTCAATGAAAAGATTAATAGTGGTGCCTTGTCAGTTGTTTTCAATGAAACCTGTATAAAAGAGGGATTGCTGCCCAAATATACAATTATACACATAAAGACGCATACATATTTAAATTGAAGATGTTGCATGAGATGTGCAAATGTAGTAAAATAACCCAAGTGCCCAACATACAAGATAGAGCTTTATAAATACAATAATAATTATTTTGTTTCATGTGTCAGCAAATCATCAGATGGTGCATTTTGGTAAATATATTGGTAGCGGCAACACCTGCTTATATTGGGATACTGATCTTCTCTCCCTATTTCCTTTCTCCTTCCTGGTAACAGAGATGGCTGTGAATCAAAGAGAGTTTGACAAAGCCATTCATGTGAATTTGATTTTGGTGGACAACTCTGTCTAATGGAGAAGCCCACACACTTGGTCAGAAGTGCCTCTCTTGTGGTTCAAAGAGGATTGAGACAGGAGAGATCTGGTAAATCTGGTTGTAAGGCTGTCAGATTCTTGCTCTGTCAGAGTCCACCTTGGTTATTCCCACCCAACTAGAGCTGCCCTCTTCTGCCAGTTTGGCCATAAATGTATTATTACCAACTTAAAGTCACAGGAGGGTTAAAAAGCAGAATTTAACATACATATATATATATATATATATATATATATATATTGAAAATTATTGAATTCTTTCTGACCTATCTTAAGAACTGGTAGTACAGACTTGATATAACTTAACCAATTTGAGGGTTCCTTACTGCAGACATGTGAACAGACTCTCACTCATGGATTTACTGCCAACAGTGAAATGCCATGGAGTGGTGTGTGTACTACTGTGTGACTTTCAGATTCACAATGAACATGCAAGTAGATCAGCACAATCTTGCATAAGGAGTTTTAGCAAAACATCCCCAATCAGCCAGGGTCTCTCAGTCTCCCTTACAGTTTTTTTTTTTGGCTCTCAGTAACTTTTGGTAAACACTGTTGAAAGTTAGCAGTTTTTAGATATAGGGATTCCAGAAACTGTCTGAAGATTATTCAGACATTTTGAATTATTTCAAAAACTAGTTGTGTGGCCATGATGTGACTAATCAGAGGAAACCTTTTCTGCACATATCTGAATAGACACACTCCTCTCATGTTAGTCAACTGTGACTGATTGATTTGTTTAATGGAATATCAACTCCTTTTGGGTCATTTAATGCCAAAATTTCATTTTCTTTCATTGGGAGCTTTAAAGTAATTAAAATCTGATACATGTTATTCTGCTTTCACAATACAATACATGGTAGATGATACTTAGCTTTTGTGCATATATATGTTTGTTGGTAATGTGATTTTGTTTAGCAGCATATCAACTACTATGGGTTATTTAATACAAAAATCTAAATATTTTGTACATAATTTTATACTTTCAGTGTAAAATGTAGGTTTTTTAGACTTACAGATTATAGATCATTAAATGTACTGCTGGTAATTTCACTACAAAAATGTATTGTTGGTAATGTTTTTATAAAAAATATATTGCTTGTATTTTTAGTGTTGTGTTTTTTAGAGGAGTAGTAACCTTTACTGTGCAGTACATCTATTCATCATCAAACAAGTTGCATTATTTTCCTAGGTTCATACTAATCTAGGAAAATAATGCAACTTGTTTGATGATGAAGCAATGTACACATAAGAATTTTGTGTGTGATTTTAATGTACAATAATATGATATTTGTAACATCTAATATATTGGGTAATATAAGTGTAAAGGGGACTACAGTGGTGTTATTTTATGTCTAGAGAGCTCTTATAATATCAAAAACAGTATTTAGAAGGTTGTAAACAGGTTTTCTATGCTCTATCAAAATATTCAATTTATAACTAAATAATCCTACATTAAAATCACATGAAAATAGAGAACTTTGCAAATAAATGCAAACCACTTATACAATGTATGTCCAAATATTTTCACCGGGAAATCAATATCCTATTTCAGAAATATCCTATTTCAGAAATGAAATGAAAATTTTAATCCTAACACAAAATATTGTCATCAGTTGGGACACACTTTATGTTGATCTGTTCTACCCACAAGATTAGGTCAGAAAAGGCTCAAATTAATAAACACTTTAATGGCTTTGAGGACATTTAAACAGATTAATTTTCATCATTCATTTATATTTCTGAGATGAGGTATTGCAACAATTTACATTGTTGGGACTGTTGTCCTCATCTTCGTTGCCATATTCATGATGAATATGGCAATGAAGATGAAGACAATAGTCTGAACAATGTAAATACTTTCTCTATCACCATACAACATAGAAATGATGATTTTTCACTTTCTATCTCATTTTTTCCTTATATGGAAACAGCTAACATTACAAATCTAAATGAACTAATTAACTAAGTGCTTTTTGAAACTTTTTGTTTCTGTTATATGTAAATTTTGGTATAATCCCTGTATGAATTGTGTAAGCTACGCCATCTAATGATAAAATGATTATATTCAGCCTGTTTATGGAAGTCAATAAAATTCTCCACTCTCTTCCTCAAGACTCCATAATTTTTTAACACTTTCCAAGAAATAATAGAATTTGTTTTGGTGGATCCATAAATTCACAACACAATATTTCTTTGTTATTAACACCATGTACAACTTAATCTGTAGCACTTAAGTTTTTGCACCTTGCTTCATAACATTAGTAACACATTTTTGTTCATGGAAGAAAAGTAGACAAGTAAAATAAAATGGGCAATTAAGTTGAAGTGAAATAAGTAAAGGAAGCAACAGCATGACATGACAAATGAATTTTGACAGGAGACAAAGGTGATTGAACTTGTGAAAGAAAATTGAAGGGTTATCTCACCATTAGACTCCAGGACTTCAGAGGTGAGCCGAATGGTGAAAGGAAAGTCCTCAGGTACAACAGAACGCAGACCTTTCTCTGCTAGGGCACCTACAAGGTCGGTGAAGAAATAAATTTCAAAAATCCTTCAAAATATTGGCTTTCAGATAAAAATGACAAACAATTGCCAATATAAATATGTATCAATTAGAATTTGAGAAACAACAATTCCTGTAATTGAAAAATAGAACACAGCACACGTTATAACTTTCATAATGAAAGTAAAAAGTAAATTATATTTACAGTTTTAGATAACCATGACCAAATAACAAAATAAAAATACATTTTACAAAAAATACTTTGCATTGATTGATTTGTTTTTTTTATCGTTTATCAACCTTTGCAGGTTATTTAAAGTCAGAAACTATTTTTAGAATGTTAGAAATTTTGGGAGATAATATTGATTTTACTAATTCAAGTCCTACTAATTAATCCATAGTTGGGGGGAGAAGAGGTGGATTCATAGCTTTCCCAAGCGTATTTACATGTAAGTGAATATAATGAATCCAACTGGAATTGTAATTTGGCTCTCTGATTTTCCAATTCTGAGCCATTATCCATTACACCAATGGCACATCCAATCTCATAGACCCTGATATTTCTAAACAGTTGCTAATCTAGCTACTGACCAGGTTTGATGTTGCTTAACTTTGGTGATTGTACAAGAAATAGTGTCTCAACATGAAATGGCTATAAGCCTTCATCTTTACAAGAGTCAAATCAGACCAAATATTGTGTATTGCTGCTACATGTTGACTGAAGCTGCCCAATTCTCATAAAAACAGTTTGTATCCCACTTTCCTATTGAAGGATTATACAATGAAAATGCAAGATCATTAAACAATATATTTGCATTAATATTTTTCCATGATTGTCTTCCTTTCATGGATGTGCTCATGGTTTGCAACACATAATAAAAAAAATGGTATTTGCACAAATAACTTTGGGAAAAGTATGAACCCATCTCTTCTGCCTACCTATTATGGGTTAAATAGCAGGGTAGATTGATACTACCTTGACCCTATGAAAAGTGCTAGAGAGTGATACTGCAATCCTAGACAGAGGGTCAATGAGCAACAATTTCATTACAGGTACAGGGCAAGGGAGTGACAATTTGATCCTAGGCAGGAGGCTGGAGAGTGACAATTTGATCCTAGGCAGGAGGCTGGGGAGTGACAATCTGATCCTAGGTAGGGGGCTGAGGAGGGAAAATTTTATCCTAGGAAGAGTGTCAGGAAGAAACTATTTCATGCTAAACAACAATGATGGAAACTTTTATAAAAGTGTTTTAATTTTATAAGCGAAATTCATTTTTAATTTTGACTTCCTTATTTGATTTTCAATGCAATGCTCAAATTGTCTTACTTTCTCAACAGCATGAATTGGAAATAAAGTAGAATCCTCTAATGAGATTTGAACTCATATACCAGCTATCCTGACATAAGTGGATATATATATATATATATATATATATATATATATATATATATATATATGTGCATTTGTCAGACAGATGGACAATCAGATTATTGCATCAGTCAGTTTTCAATGCATATCGTTTAAACAATGATCAAAGAATATGAATCAAAGATGAGCATTAAAATAAAAAGTAACATAAAGATGAAAAGAAAATATATCAAAATTAATATCGTTTAGTATATTCTATGACTTATGATTGAACAACTATACATGAAAAATGCTCTATGTAAACAAAGACTATTCAATTTACCAGTTTTCCTTTTCTTTTAGTTTAGTGTGTACTTAGTCAACATTGACAGATTTGTAAATTGAAAATATTTACCATGTCCTAATTCTCGTCTTCCTACTGAACCTGGTCGCCCAGTTTCATTTGTAGCATAAGGAGGAAACTGAAAAGAAATTCAAGAAAAGATTTTAGCCTTTCAAAGAACACAATTCTGAATCTGTAGTCACTCAACTGGCCATTTAAATATCTGTATGTGAATAGATATTTACTAAGCTGAGCACAGTTGAATTCAATACATCAGCAAATTATCTAACAAATCAATTTTTGTTAATTATCAATCTTCATCAGATATTAATGGGTATGTCTCTCTCACTCACTCACTATATCTATTTATCTCTCTCTCTAACTATATATATATATATATATATATATATATATATATATATATATATATATATATATATATTACATACACATATTGATTTGCAAGCATCAGAGCAGAATGGTCCATCTTCTGAAATCACCTGTCCTACTAGTGTTGGATTTTTTAAAAGTGGAGATTAGACCACTTGTTAAACTTGGTACATTTCCTTAGTATCTTATTTCAGTGAGATGAGTGAAATTACCATACTATTTTTTCAGAGTAGACTATTCTTAATGTGACAGTTTATGGAGCTGAAAGGACTCACCTGCCTTGCTACTTGCCAATGTACAACAAAAAGAATTACCAACCAACCTATTGGAACAGATACATTCAAATCGTTATCAAGAGCATTAGTACAAAGTGAAAACAGCTTCAGCTGGAATCTTAACTTGCCTTGCCAATTTCATTTTCTGGATAGACCTTCCACAAGCACAGGCATGTATGTATATGCGTACACACACACACACATATATATATACATACACACAGGGTGTCTTCAAAATTTTTGTTCTTGAACTTCTCTTTGAATTCAAATGAAAGCAAATTTATTCAAGATTTAAATGAATTATTCATGACTCCTTTTTTCATTGCAAATTTAAAAAATATTTTTTTTAGACATTTAAACAAATTCTTTATTGAATTGTACTTATTAGAAGAAAGGTAAATAATGTTTTCCAGCCACCAAAATTGTTGTGTGTTAAAGGTCAAATGTAAATTTAAACCATATGACAACCAGGAACATGAAATTCAAGAACAAGGACCAAAAGTTCCATTATTGAAAAACCAAGAACTGTGATATTTAGTGTATAATGTCATCTTTGAAAAAGAACTTTCCTTTAATAAATTGTCTGTTGAATGATATATGTTGACAGATATCTTCTTTTATGTGCCCTGCCCCTTTAGGATGTTAGCAATCATGGCCCTCCACATCCTCCTGACTCTTGTAGCTCTTAATAAGTTTTGTCTTTTTGTTATTTCTCACAAACATTATTCTATCATCCAATTAATTTGCTCAAGCCCATTAAGTATGTTACATGCTGCTTCCCTCTGTCCCTCTATCCATTTTGTGAGTATCAGATTTTCTAAGCCCTCCTTCCTCATTACATGTCCCAGAAATGTCAACTGCCTCTTCCTGATGTTAAGTATAAGTTTTCTTTTTGTTTCTATTCTCTCCAAAACCTTGTTGTTGCTCACATGTTTGGCCCATGGTATCCTTTTCTGTAGAACTACATTTTTCTCTTACTTTTTGTCTTTTGTTTTTCTTTGAGGTTTGGTTGTTTTGTTTTATGGCACCGAGTCATTTAATGCCAACAAAATCTTTGAAGTAGATTCATAGCAATAGTCTGGTAAAAAAGATGTGTATGTATACATATATATTTGAACTATTTTTCAATTACTCATATTTTTGAGTATAATCCAACTTCTTTTAGGAAATTTACAATCTTGGATGGTTTTATTTTCATAAAAAGTTTTTTTTTTTAAATTACTCATTTGGTAATATTTTGTTTGCACTATTTTGTATTCTGAGTTCCATTCTCCAATTTTTTTTTTCAAAGAATGTATAGCTGTTTGTATTACTGATATTTATTGTGATAATAATTTATAGTATTGTGATAATAATTTTTCCTTCAAAAATTATTGCTGGTAATAATGTTTTTTTTTATTACAAAGTATTTCTGGTATTAAAACATATTTTTACACAAGTTTGGGTGTTAACTATTTGCCTATAGCTGGGACCCAAACAGATGCTACCACCCTGGGTCAGAGTGGACCTGGGAACATCAGCAATTAAGAGGTGGTTCCACGCTCCTCAAAACCTCCTGATCAGATGCCTTGCTGTTGAACGTAGTTTATCATCTTACTCAGGACACGGATGTAGTTTATCGTCATATTCAGGAGACTTATCTTTAAGGAGATTGTCCAGCATTCACAGCCATACAGGAGAACAGATATCATGTAATAGTTCAGTACTCTTTTCTTTGTTTCCAACAAAATTTTCCTGTCTCTTATTACTCTGCTTAGCTTTTGTAATGCATCTTTGTCCATCCCAATACATCTTTGGATCTCAGTGTCGCACATTCCACCCTCTGTTAGAACACTTCACAGATATTCAAATTCCTCTAACTGCTTGATTTTAGTATCCCTGACCTGTAATTTGCATTTTGGGTTCATCTTTTTGCTGATGACCATGCATTCTGTCTTGTAGTCTATGCTTAGTCCTTTCTTCTCACTCTCCTTTGCTACCTTTTACTTTTGTAGGAGTTTTTTTTAGTTTCCTTTCCATGTTTGCTATTAGCACTGCCATTTATATTGTTAAAATTGTGGCTGCCAGTAATGAATCCTGGTATTTTAGTTCTCTCAAAATTGCTTTGCTGTATAGGTTGAATAAGTCTGGTGAGAAGACACATCTTTGTCTTACACCCCTTTCTATTTTTGCATATCTGCTGAACTTATTTTTATTGTTATGAGTGGGGACTCTCTCAAGGCTCTATTCTGGGACCAACACATACTTCTAAATGACAACATTGTTGAAAACTTGTCAATGTTTGCTGATGATACAAAAATATTTTATGAGATATCAAAAACTGAAGATGCTTTCACACTGCAAGATGATTTGCATAAATTGTACAAGTAGTGCAAAGACTAGCAGGTGTTATTCAATTCTGAAAATCAAGAGTTTACATGTTGATATTGTAATATGAAGTCACCATCTGAAACTACAAGTTGTACATTCAGAAAGTCAACAGTGGCATCAATTCACATCCGAGCAGCATCGGGATCGTCATCCTCTCTCCATATTCCTTTTCTCCCCTCTGGTCGTGCTGACAGAGATGGCTGATAAAGGCCCAGCCTATTTCTGAAGAGTTGTGAGCAAGATTTACAGAGGAGTGTCAGAGGTGGAGGTGACTAGGTGAGTCTGGCTCCCCTGAGAGCATGTCACAGATCGTCTTCATACTGACAGTTGGACATGAAAAACTCAACACCCTCCTCTCTCCCCGGATGATACTCTGCCAAGAAGGACTATTTGCAGCAACAGTTTCCCAGGTCTCAGGATTGGTATTGATCTGTGTCAGGGATGTTTTCAAATGATCCGTGAAGCATTGTTTTGGGTCTCCGTATCGCCTCTTGCTGCTGGCAAGTTCTACAAACAGGATGCTATGTGAGACTTGAGTGGGATGCATTCTGAAAGAAGTGGAGGCAATGTTGAAGGATGATAGACTCTATGCTGGGGAGAGATATCTGAGAGAGGATCTCATTGGGGATGTAGTCCTCCCAAATGATGCAAAAGATTTTTCAGAGCTTTATTTGCTCGAACATTCTAGATGTTTGATGTCCCAATGGTACAAAGTCCAGGGCTCGCAAGCAAGTACTTCTATACAAACCAGATGATTAAAGAATACAATGCTCTTACTTGTGATGTAGTGTGTGCTGAAACTGACAATGAGTTCAAACATTAAATTGACAAAGTCCTAATGAAAAAAAGAGGAAATTACCCCAAGTAACTTCCTTTCCCAGTAGACCCCTAATGCAATACATTATGTTTTTACAGAGCAAATATTTTGTTTGATTGTAATATTTTATTATTGTAGATCTTTGGACATAGGTTAACCCTCCATTTACCAAGAAAACTGACTTTCATTAAATACCACTTGGTTCCAATGAATCCATTTATTCTTTTAATCTATTCAAACTTTTTGGATTTTTTGATATTAAATATGTATAATTATATATGCACAAAGAAATAACAATTTTAATCACAATTTATTCACTGAAACAGAAAAATTACAATACATCTTTGCATTTATTTTGAGATTATAAATTTAATTTGAATTATTTTTTTAAAATTACAATTCACTGCTGCCTCTTGCAGAGAATACTTTCAAATGGCTTTGACAGACATGTTTTTGGCAAATATGATAATTTGCATTTTTCTATCCATTTTATTGACCACAACATGCATCTTTTTTCTTTCTTTCATTGGATGGTTCTTGGGCAGTGTATTACTCACTAAAGTTTATAGTTGTATCAATACCTGTGAGACCAGAATTCCTTCAACATTTGTATATTTTTCTTTTATTTCCAGGAGATTTAGCTTCATGAACAATATAAATGATGAAACAGCTGAATCACAAGAACTTCTTGCAAAACGTGAACGTCTAGGCTTGAGACATAAAATACTGTAGGATGGAGCTCTTTCTTGTGCCCTTTCAACTGATTTAGAAAACCAAGTTTCAGACTTATAATTTGAATAATACTTTTCATTCATCATCGAATGGTTTAAAGAATCATTTTTCTGTCAGCTTTGTTGTCATCATTCATATCATCATCCGATTCTGAATAAGTAATGCTTATACTTTCATTATCATCTTCAGAAAAAAATGACATCTATTTAGAATGGATGATATATTTAATTAATTAAAAATTTCAACTATATGTCTATTGGACCCACTTGGTAATAGGAGAAGAAATCACCATCAAAATTTTCTTTTTTTTTGTTCTAAATTTATTTTTTTTATATAGATGATAGAAAATGAAGAAAAAATAAGTCACAAAAATAATTTGTATAAAATAACCATAAAGGTGAAAAAATTAGTTTTAAAAAAAATTATGGGTCCTTTGGTAGATTGAGGGTTAATCAGAAAGAAATTTCAAACTCTAAATCAAATTTAAGTGAATATGGCAATGCAATTGATGGTGATCATAAAAGAGGATTTTGTAAATTGTTGTGAAAAGTGTAA